TTTCATATTCAACATCCTTTAAAGCTCGAATGAAAATTTTCTTCTTAGTATCATTTTCCTTCTTTATTCCATTTTATTTTTCCCAACACCACGAGCTCAGCTTTCTAAGCTTCCCTCTAGGCAACTGAGAAGCAATGGATTTTGCAGTCTTGTATAGTCTTCAACCTAAATGTTTCTTCACACACTAAGAGCATTTTTAAATGTAGTGGCTATTTTGAGCATCATTACCAACATATTTGTAGCTCTCATTTTAATGATTATTGTCATAATTAATCTTTTCTTGATGCTGACTTTTTAAAATGTTGAATGAAAATTAATGTATTGATTAGGTAATTTATGGATCTAAAGAGCTCATGCTAAGAAAATATTTCATATATTTTGTTAATATTTTAACTAGCTGAATAAAGACATTTATTTTTATTATCTAATTTTATAATGACAAACACATTTGTAAAATTAAACTTTATAAAACACAAACTCTCCTGCATAACAATGAAAAGTATAATTTATTTAAATAAAGCTTGAAAAAAGTTAAGCTATTTTATTGGTGTATAAGCTTAGAAAGAGTAGAAGAATTTGAGCATACTAAAGCTTTTGTTTTTAAGGGAATGAGAATTAGTGATTTATTTTATAATTTCTTATCATTCCGTTAATATTACATAGTTAAATTCCAATGGTGACAATTAAACAGGGAGTGTAATTTTCAAATGAATAAAGGGGACAAATACAATAAAAAACTTGTACCAATGAAGACAAATATGATGACTAACCATAAATTAGGATTAATAGAATTCACAAAGACAGCTAAAATATGTCATGACATATCAATAATCACCGTAAATATGAAACTCCTCATGCAGTAACAGAATATCTGATTTGATACAAAAACAAAGATATCAAACAGCATGGACTTTAATTAAGAAAACATTGTTAAGTGTAAGGAAATGTACAACATTATGATAAAAGGTTCAAGTCGTCTTGTGCCTTGATGAAATCAATTTACAATAACTCAATTGTATTTTCGTACGCCAGCAGCATAGAGTAGAGAATGCACTTTAAGATACAATAAAGAAGCAACAAAAATATAATTTTAATAAATTCCTTGTTTTTCCTGGCAGTGTTCTGTTTCTTAAATTAGTAAAACTAAATATTATTCTTTGATACTTTGCTGTGGAATACAAGCAAAATTATCACAGTGCTACTCCTTCTCCTTTTTGTCTACATTTATCAGATCCCTTTTTCCATGTACCTTTCCATTTTCATCCATTCTACTAAGGTTGAATGTTATCTTCATTATTTTATCTATTATTTTAATAACTGTGTTGTTATGTTGTCATAATTATAATGGAAATGAGTCTATGTATGTTATAAATGAATAAAACAATTGAGATCGCCAATGAATTCCCTCCCTAACCAATATCTTTACTCTCTGTTTTCTTAACGTTATCATTTTTCTTAATGCTTTATTGCAATCTAGACACAACTTTACTGGCCTGCTTTTGTGAATATACAGTACTGCATATACTCCTTTAATGGCTTTTATAGCACATATTATGATCATGTTCCTTATATACAAGGCCCTGCATGTTTTTCTACTGCCTATTTCTCTAACCCCTTCTATCCCAACCCTCCTTTGCTGTGTTCCTATGTAACAGGGCTTCTTTGAGATATTTAAATAATCCATGCTCCTTAACAGCTCCTTCACAACTTGGTCTTATTGCATGCTCATTCCTCTCTTTTGAATATAATCAAATAACCACCCAAAGCTACACCGTAAAAACTATGACCTGGCACTAGAAAACATTAATGTTAGTCATTAAATTTTTGAATCATGTTAAAAATAAGATGACTAACTCTTATACTTTGAAGGTATTTTATAACAAAAGAAGTTCAAAATATACTTGGACAAAAGTGAACAGCTGGTTCTTTGGTCACTATTCTAACTTCAAAGACATCATAGTACATGTATCTTGGTCAATCTCTCATAATATTAATTAAAGGAATTCTTAGGAATTTTCAGGTCCAATTTAAGCAAAATCCTGGTCAAGAACTGCCTTCTGGATTAAATATCGATTGTATTTCCTATTGTGAAGATCAAGTGATGACTATACAGCACTGATGAGAGGTAACTGATCCAGAAAATGGACCCGGTCTGGCGGGCCTGGAGACTATTTGATTTCCAAGATACTGAAGCAGAGATGACCCAGTACCACTGGCTTCCTTGGGGCTGCCCACATACACCCAATATTAACTTTCATCAGCATGCATGTCACGAAACTTCTGGTAGCCTGTTGCTATGTATGCTGTTTCCTGCCCTGTATCCTTTCTTATTCCTATTGTTTGAAGCTTTTAGAAAACCTTGTTTCTCTTAAGTTATCAAGCTACTCTGAGTGAAAAGTTGATGCTTCTATTATGTTGGCAATACATTTAAAATTACACAACCCAGATGATACTAAAACAATCCTAGTCAAGTTTCATTCAAACCAACTCTGTTTAATTTTATTGTTATATTGCCTCATAATACAATATAATGCTTACTAGTACTCATATGTGCTTTTGACTGTGTGATCACATTAGAAAAGTGTGACTGGGAAAGTCCTTGAAACAAGAAGATTGTCTATACATTCTAAATGTAAAACAGCTATTTCTCCAGGTCACAGAAATATCTACTCTATTTTCCCAATACAACAGCCACAAAGTAGAAAATAATGTATTGAAAAGAATGCAAACCTTGTATCTTTTGAACTTATATAACACATAAAATGTGCAATAACTATTTCTAGAGAATTTTTCTAGTTCTTTCCACATGTTTATACCATAGCCACAGTACTTAGGAAACTTTCATTTTTTTCAATATAATAAAACACAGCAAACAGCTCTCCTTTGGTTCCCTCAGACTTAAAAGATTAAATTACATCTATGCTAAAATTTTGATAAAAATTATATAGCTAGGTATTTATTATTACGATGATGTATGAAGAGTATATTTCATTAATTTTCCATGTAGTCAAGTTATCTGGACCAGTCACATAAATTGGCATTTTGTTATTTTATTAATATTTGTCAAGGAAAATATATTTTAAGATAATAGGCACAAGTAGCAAACTTTTTAAAGCAAGAAAGTGGTAACTATAAAATTTAAAATAATGGTTACCTCCATGAAAGAGGCAGAGAGATGCAATAAGAAAGAGCAGTCAGAAAATCTCCAAGTAATGCTATTGTTCTGTCGATTAGGTGACTAGGTCATGACTTAATTATTCTTATAAGTAGTAGTATTCATATGTGATTTCAATTACATAATTGCCTTGGTGAGAGTGACTGAGAAAGTGCTTGAAACAAGATAATTGCCTATTCTTCATAATGTAAAGTAACAGGAAAATTACCATGTGTCTTTAGCAAAAACTTTGAGTGATTATTTTAAGAAGTCAAATTCAAATTACACTGTAAAAAAAATCAACAAAACATATATACGATGTGTTTTTTTATATTTATGCTATATATAAGTTATAATGTGGTTGGAATGTTTTTTCCATATACATTTCATTATGAATATTGATGTTTTATGATTGCAGTTGAATTTGTAGTGAGGAAATCACAAAATACCATTGTTATTAAGTATGAAATGTCTGATTACCTGAAGTACTAAGTTTGACTGTTACTATCTCTGACATTTCACTTTGACATTATTTTTATTGTGAACGTACATCCTTATTCTTTCAAATTCATGGTTTGGCTTGTGAATATCTTTTAAATTATTTGAGAGCAATTTTTGTGAAACCATGGATAAGTCAAAATCTCATGTTATTTTTGAATATGATCTCCTTTGTGGAACCAGCGCAGCACAGACAGCTGGAAATATCAACCAAGTGTTGGGAAGGATGTGGCTAATGAGTGCACAGTACATCAACAGTTTGAGAAGTTCCATTCTGGTTATTTTAATCTTGAAAATAAGCCATGTCAGTGACCTGAGATCACAGTGGACAATGAAGAGCTGAATGCTGTAGTGGAAGCAAATCCACCTCCACCTATGTGCAAATTAGCAGCAGGGTCTGACATTACTATTCCAACAATATTGGACCATTTGAAGCAAATGGGCAAGGTAAAGAAGCTGGAGAGGTGGGTTCTGCATGAATTCAATGACCATCAGAACAGAGATCTTCTCGAAGCTTGCCTTTCTTTGCTGTCACGACATAAAGATGAACCATTTCTATACCCTATTGTTACATGAGAGAAAAATCTATTCTTTTTGACAATTGCAAGCATTTGGCACAATAGTTGGATAAAGTTGAAGTGCCAAAAGAAGTCCAAAACTGAGTATTCATCAAAAAAAGCTAATGGTGTCTGTTTGGTGGTCCAGTGCTGGTATTAAACACTACAGCTTCATGAAATCTGGTCAGTCAATTACAGTAGATGTCCACTGCATCCAGTTGAATGAAATGATGAGGATGCTTACCATTAAGCAGTCGAGATTTGTCAACAGAAACAGGCCAATCCTTTTGTAAGATCATATGTCACAAAAAATAACGCTGCTCAAAACAGAAGTTGCACTTGGAAACTCTGCCATCCACCATATTTACCAGACCTTGCACCAACTGACCACCGCTTCTTCCGGGCTTTGGATCACTTCTTGCAACAAAAATATTCAATTCTCAACAAGCTGTAGAAAGTGCCATTCGTGATTTCATTGCCACTTTGCCACTCTAGGCTTCTTCACTGCTGGCCTAAGCAAGCTACTGTTCAGATGGCAAAACTGTGTGGATAGTTTAGGCACATACTTTGATTTATTATACTGTTTTTTGTTCAAGATATAATACACTAAACTTCTGATTTGAAATTGGACATTTCATATTTAATGACCTAATGTTTAATAGTAAGAAAATAGTTTTATTTAAAACAGTAGAAGATATTATTATTCTTAATGGGCATAGTGTATTGTTATCTGTTGCTGAGTTACAAATCACCCCAAAACTTAATGGCAAATAATTTGACACATTAATTACCTCAGAGTTTCTTGCGATGAATTGGTGACTGCTCGCCTGGGTCCTGTGCTTTGCAACCTCACAAGGCTGCAATCTGAGTCTTAGCCCAGGGTCTGCAGACTCGTCCAAAGGCTCCACCAGGCAAGTGTCCCCTGCTAAGCTCACGCAGTGATTGTTGCAGCTCTCTGTGGACCGCAGGACTGAAGGCCTAAGTTCTCCTTAGCTGTTGGCTAGAGCTCACCCTGAGTTTCTTGTAACGTGATATCTTAAATGTGACAGTTTACTTCAAAGCTGTAAGCTGAGAAGGCAATAGAATGTTGGCCTATAAGACAGAAGTCAAAAGTATATGTAGACTAATTATGGAAGTGACATTTCACATTTGCCATATTCTACTGCTCCTAACTCTAACCTAAGAGGACACGATTACATAGCCTGTTACTACCAGGAGATTACCATTGCTGGCTAGCACAGAATTAAGTAGACCTACAACACCTGATAAAAATAGAAGGAAAAATAACTTAAGTAGCTTGTGTGATTCAAATAAAGTACTAATAAATATAGTTGGATAGGTGTCGTGTGCTTGAATGTCAGAATATGGCATTCAAAGTAACTACACATCTGTAGTTGAAAGACTACTTAGATTGAAGGCATCATTTCCCTTGATAGTTGTGTTTTGCACAATTAAATGTAATGGATCTGATTAATTTCTTCCTAGGCAAAAAGTCAGACACAGGAGAGATATGGTCTAAATTATAGTGGTTTAAATAGTATAGGCAATTGTATTTAATAAAATACTGAACATTTGGTGCTTTTATCAAATTCTATTATTAATGTCAATGTGATAAATAAAGCACTCTTATAAATGTGTTTATCTAACCTTAAATATTTGCAATAGAAATTACTATCTGTATTTACTCTATGAAAACATTAAAATGGGATATCGTTTTTATTTATAGTTTATCAATATATGCAAAAAATCCATCCTAAAAGTAAAAGATGTAGATTTTAAATAAAATAATAACTCAGAAGATAAGTGTATATTAAGGAAATGTCAGCTGTATGAATTCTGTAGCAATCATAGATATTATGTTTGGTATATTACTATATAGATACTATATTACTCTGTAATGTGTGCTTATGATCAAAACGTTGTCAAACCATTTAGATATATAGAAAATGTATTAATAAGTAACACAGTTAACTGTTTAAACCTCAAGATAACTTTATAAGGTAGAGATGAATGTCAATCTATAATGAGAATTAGGAAGTATAGGCAAACGCGTTGATTAACTTTCCTCAACCCAAGATTTGTAAATGTTGACAGATAGCAGAATCAGGTTTTCAAACCAAGTGGTCTGGTTCCAAAATGTATGCTCTCAGCCCTCATGCTGAATTTTTTTTAGAAAACACAGTTTGAATAAGCAAAATTTTCTTGTAAAAATAATTAACAACAACTACGAATATCTGAGTAAGTTATACAAATAAAATCAAAATTGCTTACAAAGATATACAATTACAAAACTGTCTACCTCCAGCAATTCTTAATTATTTTTTCTGTATTTCAAAAAGAGTATGTATCATTTCCTATGAACCCTAATCCATGATTGAACTACACCAAACTCTAAACTCATAAAGTAAACTGTGTATTGATTCTTTGAAGCTGTCAGTTTCATGCCTTCTGAATCATGGTGCCAAATGTATGCAGACTAAGCCTTTTATCTCTACTAAGGCAAGTGGGTTTTAACTCACTCAGTTAACTTCCTGGTTATTTCAAACTAACATACCTCAGGCAATAACAAGGTCATCGTCTAAACTCCCTGTCCCTTTACTATTGTATTTCTGTGGCCAGTAAAATTCCAGTACTATTATAGAATAGAAACAATTTTCTCTGTTTAAGTTATCTTTGTGTCTGCTTGTCTTATGTCTCCAACCATTTTTGATACATTTTCTCTTTATTTCTCTGCTTATCTTTTAAAAAATCTCCCAAAGCCTAAAAAATCCCTCAAATTTGTACAGCCATGAGTTTATTGAAATATACATAGTCAATCAATTATGTAGAGCACAATTATTATTTTTATATGAAATATAAAATATTGAACATCATAATAAATATTTTAATTTATAGGACTCATCAAAGTGGATTATCCATAAACAAAAACATGACCCTTTAGTGAAGGCAGTCTTATTTCTTTTTCTCCCTACATAAAAATATAAAGTATACATTTTCATTGGAATTTAGAACTTAAAATATACTTACCAATTAATGTACAAATTAATCTTAATTTTATAATTAGTGATCAGTAAGAATTTTATGGACTAGTATTTTTAAAGTACTGCATTTTCTATGAAACTGCTTTAATCTTGCTTGAGCCCTCTATATTCCAACTGAACTTTGGAAAGAGTTAATGTTAATTGAGATAGCAAGCGTCAAATCTATGAATTCATTCAGAAAGAATGGTTAACATTATTAATACTGAGGATATAATAGTTCCCTTTAGTAAAGGAATATGTTTCTTCATTCATTCAAGTGTCTTCAGTGTGAATTACAGGATTTTTTAACAGACATGGTTTTGCTCTGTTGGTCAGGATGGTTTGCGGCAGCAAGATGAGAGCTGACTGCAGCCTCCAGCTCCTGGACTCAGTGGACCCTACACCTCAGCCCCGAGTAAAGTGCTGGAAGAGGTGGAACCCACTCTGCCCGGCCCCACTCTCTTCTCTTAACTGCGTTTACTTTTAGGCACTAACGTTTGTGTTGCACTTACGACTGTACTTTCTGTAACATTTTCTGATTATGTATCTTCGGAGCTTGGCTGAGCTGAGAGGAACAGCTGGGCTGCTGGTGCGGGAGTAGCTGGATGGGGCGGCCAGCCCAACCGAAGCGCTCAGCGACTTGCTGCGGCCGGGGGTGTGAGAGCCGAGAACCAGCGCAGGCCGGCGCCGCCCCACGGAAGGCTCCTCTTCACCGCTGTGAGGCGACGAGAGGCCAAAGGGCTCCGGAGCCGGTCCCAGTGGGGACGGTGACTGCGAGGAGTCCTGGCCTCAGCAGATGTGCATGCGTGTCTGCCCACCATTGCAGAGAAAGAGGCGTGAATGAAGGCTGGGCTCCAGAAGGTGACCTGGGAGAGGGGGCGGCCGAGCAGGAGGCCCGTGGTCCGCCCGCCAGGCCAGCCGCCCCTGCCCGCCGGCCTGCCAGCCCCCGCCACGTGGCCCACCCTACTGCCACCCTGCGCTGACCCTGCCGGCCCACACCCAGGCCCAGCCCTGGCCCCGTTCCCACCTGGCCCCACCCAGCCGCCGCCCTGCCCTGCCCGGGCCCGGGGCCATGTTCCCACACCCCACCCGCCCTGCCTGATCCTACCGGCTACCCATCCGCCACACCCACACCACCGCACCCTACCCACCGCCACCCACCCCCACAATCCCTCAGCCCGCCACCCATCCCACCCACCGCGCCCAGCGACCCGCGCACCACAGTCGGCCACCGCCCACCCCGGCCAGCCTGAACCTGCCCGCCACCACCAGCTGCCTGGCCCGTCCCTTCACGCCACCCAGCTGCCTGCGCCCCGACGCCCGGCCACCACGCGGCTGCCGTCCAGCCCTGCTCCACCCTCCCGCCCAGCTGGCCTCGCCCCCTCCAGGCACACCCCCCACCACCCACTCACCGTGCCTGCGCCGCCGGCCCGCCGACCTGCCCACGCTGCGCTGCCCACTGGGGCCGCCACCGCCCACCACACCCATCCTGCCCGCGGCCAACCCTAGCCACCCGGACCCACCGCCGCAGCACCCATCCCGCCCCAGACCCCGCCTCAGCCCCCACCCCGGCACACCCCGCCCTAGCCCCGCCCTGGCCCCCACCCGTGGCCCCAGGGCGGCGGCCCTCCCCCAGGGCGGCTCTCGCTGAGGCCGGCCGGGGAAGCCTCTGTGGTCGCCTGGGATCCATCTTGAAAATCCCAAATAGGGTTCCAACCAGGGGCCGGGATCCTCAGCTCAGCGCTGCAATGTAGAGACATCGATCGCGTGGACTGTGGCGTGGTGAGGCAGAGTCCACCGGCCTTAGCACCCGTTTCAGTCATGCTGCGTTGCGTCTCTTAATTTTTCCACACGCTGATTCACTCACAGAACAATGACACGATGACTTGGGATAAGTACCTTGGGCGAGCAGCGTAACACGCTGACGTCATATCGGACTCACTTTCACTGAAAAAAGAAAACTCAGAAGAGCTCAGGCGAGCGCGTCCGCGGGGCCTGCGTCGGCGTGACCTGCGTCGGCGTGACCTGCGTCCGTGGGACCTGCGTCGGCGGGACCTGCGTCGGGGGGGACCTGCGTCCGCGGGACCTGCGTCGGCGGGACCTGCGTCCGCGGGACCTGCGTCGGCGGGACCTGCGTCGGGGGGACCTGCGTCGGCGGGACCTGCGTCGGGGGGACCTGCGTCCGCGGGGCCTGCGTCGGGGGGACCTGCGTCCGCGGGGCCTGCGTCGGCGTGACCTGCGTCGGCGGGACCTGCGTCGGCGGGGCCTGCGTCGGGGGGACCTGCGTCGGCGGGACCTGCGTCGGCGGGACCTGCGTCGGCGGGGCCTGCGTCGGCGGGGCCTGCGTCCGCGGGACCTGCGTCGGCGGGGCCTGCGTCGGGGGGACCTGCGTCGGGGGGACCTGCGTCCGCGGTACCTGCGACCGCGCCCCCCAGCCTGCGACTCCGCCGCGGGCCGCAGCGCCACGGTTTGCCGGGTTGTTTCCCTTTCACCTCGAAAATGGAGAGAACAGAATATACTTCATCAAAGTTTAAATACATTAATGTATCTGTTGTGCCCGTGTTTACATATTCGGCTCCCTCAATTCTGCAGGCTTTCCTCGAGATCGCCAAGCCCCACGCGGAATAGGCCGAACTCCAGTCCGTCTGAAATGCTCCGCGTCGCCGCCGCCTCTTCAAGGCCCGTGTGCTGCGCGTTCTAGACCTTTCTTTCCTCTTTCCTATTGGAAAGCCCCTCATTCTAAATATTTGCTTGCTTTTATCAGGTCAAGAAACCACTGCTTATCCTTTTCCGACTCGTGTGGGTACATAACTTCTGAATAGCCATGTTGCAACAGGCTTGCTTATTTTGCAGGTGTTTCCATATTGCTGATAGTTGCTTATTTTTGTGTTGTCTGCTAACTAGGCTGTGAGCTCTTGCATGGCAAAATAGATATCTTTTAATTCTATATCCCTGGTGAGAGTCACAGTGCCTCATATATAGAAGGTGTTCTGTAAATGCCAGAAGGAAGGGAAATGTAGACAATTATTTTTTCTATGTGCCTGGTCCTCTATGTCTTCTACAAATGTCTCTTTAATTCTCACTATAAAGTTATGAGGCAGAAGTTTTATCTTTCACTTAACAATGAGAAAAGTAAAGTTTGAAAGAGTTAACTTCTTTAAAAAAGATCAGACACACAACAGTAATTATAAAGCAGGGCATGGTTCCGAGACCTGTCTACTTCTAAAGTTCATGCTCTTTTCACCACTCCTTGCCTGAGTGAAAGATGGGACTTAAGCTGCATTTAAAGAAGGATGCCTGCTGTCAGTGTGCATTATGCAAGGACTAGTAAGACCTATAGATTGTCTTAGAAGGAGAAAAAGTTATCTAAAGGCAGAAGAGGACTTTTGGGAAAGTGTGGCAGGGAGAAGATAAATTAGCAGCAAAATCAGATGGGCTAACATCTGGAAATGATGATGGTATTGAAAGCAGAGAAACCAGTAAAGAGTAAGTTGACCAGATCACAGGTCATTTCAGGAGTTATTATATTGTTTACTTAATGATATATAAAAATTATTCTTTTCGCCTAACAGGGTCCCATAAAGTACACACATACCAGTAAGGTAAGGGGTGAATAAACCATAGACAAATTTATTCATCAAAAGATCAAGGTAAAAACAAATAAGAGTATAAAACATTTCCATATTTTTCTACTATGTAATTACAAATTACAGATATTATAATGGTATATGCCCATCACTTTGTGTGATGGTTGATTTTATGTGTCAACATAACTGGGGCATAGGGTGAACAGACGTTTGTTCAAACATTAGTATTGTTGTGTCAATGAGAATGTTTCCTGATGAGATTAACATTTGAATCTGTAAACTTAATAAAAAAGATTGCCTTCCCCAATGTAGGCAATGTGGGTAGGCTTTCTCTAATCCATTGAAGGCCTAAATAAAATGAAATGCTGCATGAAAAAAAAATTTTCCTCTGCTTGTCTGTCTTCAAATAGGAGCATCCCTCTTCTCCTACACTTGGACTCAAACTGAAACATCAGATCATCCCGGGTGTTAAGCCTGTTGGCCTTCAGACTGAAACTACACTCTTGGCTTTCCAGGGTCTCCATATTGCTAAATGCAGATCTTGTTACTCGTCAGCTTTCATAATCATATGAGTCATTTAATAAATGAAAATAAATATACCTATCTATCCATCCATTGATAGAGATAAATAGATACAGATATAGATTTAGATATAAACGTAAGACCTAAGACTAAAAATCTGCTGGTAGAAAAGAGGGAAACTCTTTAAGACATTTCTCTAGGCAAAAGACTTGTTGCTAAGACCACAAAAGCACAAGCTATACACACAAAAATAGATTAATGGGACCTAATTAAACTAAAAACCTTTTGCACAGCAGAAGAAATAATCAACAGAGTAAAGAAACAATCTATAGAATGGAGGAAAATATTTGAAAATTACTTATCCAATAAGGTATAATATCCACAATCTATTAGGAGATCAAACAACTCAACAGTAAAAAAAAAAAAAAAATCAAATAACCCCATTAAAAATGGTCAAAGGACATGAATAGACATTTCTTAAAAGAAGACATATAAATGACCAATAGGAATATGAAAAAATGCTCATCATGGAAATGTAAATTAAAACCACAATGAGAATGGCTATTATTAAATAGACAAAAAGTAACAAATGATGGCAAGAATGTAGGAAAAAGGAAACTCTTATACACTGTAGGTGGAAAGGTAAATGAGTGCACCAATATGGAAAACAGTATGGAGATTTCTCAAAAAACTAACAATATAACTACCATACTATCCAACAATCTTATTACTATCTATCCAAAGGAAAAGAAATCAGCATAATAAAGGAATAACTGCACTCCCATGTTTCTTGTAGCCCTATTCATGATAGCAAACATAAGAAACCAACCTCAGTGTCCATCATTGGATAAATGGACAAAGAGAATGTGGTCTATATATACAATTGAACACTATTCAGCCATAAAAAATTAATAAAATCATGTCATTTGCAGCAACATAGATGACACTGGAGGTCATTATGTTAAGTGAAACATTCCAGGTACAGAAAGACAGACACCCCATGATCTCACTCATATGTAGGAACTAAAAAACTTAATCTTATGAACATATTGAACAATAAATACTAGAGTTTGGGAAAGATGGGGGAGGGGATGAAGAGAGGTTGATCTGAGGTAAAAACATACAGTTATATAGAAAAAATAAGTTGTCATGTTAGAAAGAATACTAGGATGACTATAGAATGGGAAAAAATAGTTGAGAATTGTTCATCCAACAAGTGACGAATATCCAGAACTGTCAAGGAACTCAAACAACAGTAAAAAAACAAATAATCCCATTAAAAAATGGGCAAAGGACATGAGTAGATATCCTTTGGATAGATACTTAGTAGTACGATTGCTGGATTGTACAGTAGTTATATTTTTTTAGTTTTTTGAGAAACTTCCATACTGTTTTCCATAGTAGTTGCACTAATTTACATTCTCATTAAAGATAAGAGTTCCTTTTTCTCTGCATCCCTATCAGCATCTGTTATTTTTTGTCAGTTTAGTAATAGCCATTTTTATAGTAGTTTTGTTGTACATTTACATGATGATTAGTGATTCTGAGCATTTTTTCATATACCTGTTTGTCATATGTATGTCTTCTTTTGAGAAAGAATATTATATCACATTATTATGTATTTTCAAAGTAACTAGAAGACAGGACTTGAAATATTAACAACACATAAAAATGAAAAGTACTCAAGGTACCCCAGATACCCGGACTTTATCACTGTATATTCTACACATGTAACAAATACACATACCCCATAAATATATAAAATATTATATAACCATAACAGAGAAAAGACAAAATCTCTTTATCA